GACTGTATCACTTTAAAATCGTCATGCAGCAAAAGAGTATCGTCCGGATACTCTTTATCAAGCAGTTTTTCCCTCGCCACATCACAATGCCTGTGTCATAAAATACCACAGGAGCACGCTAAATGTTGGGGCCAACAATAAGGTTGTATAAATATCGTAGGTGCAAAACTTGGCTGATGAATTGGTTGTCGACAAACAGTCAGACAGTTTTACTGTTTGACGCGAACTATAGTGTTAGCACAAGACACTTAAATTGTTCAAGTATTTTATAGAATCACTTCCGAACAAATATACCGAAGGGAGTGAAACGATCAACTTCACCTAACCATTTTTGGAATTAGGAAGTACAGTTTGTTTGATCTGCAATGCTTGTGGCGATTTTATGGAACTTTTCGCAGGAGGAAACTATGGTCTATACAACCTTTCCCCCCCCCTCTCCCGAGAATTACTTTCCCTAATAAATCGACATACGAAAGTGGAGGCCGGCGACTTCAGTGTTGCTGGCGTCAGACTAATAACACTGTGCGACAAAACAATTTATTTTCTATGACTGCAATGTCAATGTCCCTACCTTATAGAATGCACTCCACTGATCGTAGAAATGTATTCCGATGTTACCCAGAACGTCAGGTTACATTGTTATAAGGAAATGATTATTTTCAGTAATGTCAAGGCTACATCGTACGGTTTGTATCTAAACGTACTGAATCACAACATACGCCGGATGCATCCATGTGGCAACTAGGTTTAATACATCACTGCAACACTCGCTGCTAACTACCGATTGTCGCTTCTCACTGGGAAATGATGACTTCTTCGATATCCTCGCTGTAGCATCTAACGCCCTCAGGCTGCAGAAACCAGCAAAAGTCACCCATCATCGAAGGCGTGTACTTGCCACTGCAACGCTGCTCCATGACTGAGATGTCTTGGTGAATGCTCTCACCGTGCTCATCGTTAACAAATCCCAAGTCCTTAGAGAGAAAATCAAGGTGATTATGCAAAATTTCCTCTTGAGTGACATTCGAGCACTAACAGCCCGACATTCCACAATGGGTGTTTTTTGTGTTGTATTCGTATTTATTTGCCTTCGTTGCGCCAAAAATCATGTACACATTGCCTTGAATGATCGCCATGCTTCTAACTCAAATGAAGTCAACTGGCATTTGAAAGCACTGTCTGCTATTATTCGGCGAATATCAAACCCAATAAGTACCCCTTCTTTGAGCTTCGCACCATTGATCTTCAGAAATACTTGTTTCAGGTACTGAAACGCAAAACTATCTCACTTGAGGGCTTTAAGTTTTTAATCAAACCAAGATTGATGTGCAGGGTTGGTAGATAGATAGAAAAAGGTTACACAAGAGGTGTATGCTTTACACTCATTTTCCCTGCAGCATACTCCGTCCTCTCTGGCCACTTTTCGGTTGTGTATTGCTGTTGGGTTGCTCGATTATGGAATGTCTTCGGGTACATGTGTATTGTCTCGCTTCGACAACACGAATTCACGTCGCATTCCTTTGGTAATGAGGGATTTGTCATCGGTACACCCACAAGACTTCAGCTGATTCATTGAACAGTAGCTGCTTGGACGTTTCCTACGCGCATTCCACTTAACATTCAACTCGGTGAATTTGAGTTTGAATAGCTGTTTCGAATGGCCAGCACTTCACTCACTAACGCGTCTAGTTTTCCCTACTTTTGTGAATTATCAATTGGTGCTCGGTTTTTCCCGACACCACAAGCTTGTTTTACTTTCCCTGATCTTGCCATCCATCGCCGCTAGCGATCCGTTCCGGCTCTCTCAATCGTCCATCTTTTTCAGCTGGTTGCGGACAATTTGCAACTGCCTACGCAAGGGAGTCATCTACACTGATACGACATGATTAATGGAAGTGTCGTTCATCTACTTTCAGACGCCCGAGTTAAGCGGGCAAACGGTTTTCACTACATTCTCTACCATGTATTACATGTGTCCCAGTTCATCTCCTTCGTTAGATTTGCCTAGATGATACTTAGTGAATAACCTCCAAGTTGAATGCTCTTATGAGTCCTGAAGAGCAACCGCCATGCGATTGCGCAATGAGACATGATTCAACTCTGGACGGAAACTCCAAATCGACCGACAGTCTTGCGCTGGTGTTCACCATCCGTAGGTGATAGGGACAGATTCAGTCCACGTCATCATTAACATTCGTGGGCGTTAGGTAGCTCGATGCGAATATACCGCAGACTCAGACGATCGATCAATCCTTTTCGTATTGCTTGCGCGGGAAGTTTTCCCAGTGAACTATGCGAGCGTCTTACATGTCCTGCACTCAAAGACCACAGGCCGCGCCAGGGTTTACAGTGATTTGTCGGATGCCTTTCCGGCAATGAGTGACATTCATTAGGGTTATCCAATTTTTCCCATTTTTGTTCAGCTTCGTCGTGCACATTATCACAAAGTGTTCCCTTGAGGAATCTCCCGGTGTAGGCATTGAGCTGCTGTCTAGTGAAAAACTGCTTGATTTTGACTATGCCGATAATGTCGTCTTGTTGTTTAACGATGTGCGGTGGCTCAGCCAACCCTGAATAACCGCTCTAGAGTGGCTCATTATTTACTGTGCACTTCGTACTTTCAAAGTGCCTTGTGTTGATGCAGAACCATCAGGTACTTGATGACCCCTTGCTAACGGGGAACTAGACGTAATTGCTCAGTTCACCTAGCTCATCAGCTGCATCAACAACGATGGGCACATAACCACCGAACTTGGTTGGAGGATCATTTCAAGTGCTCGTTGGGTCAATGGATTGGTACGCGCAGTCTAAATATGAACAGCGATGCACATCGAAGTGGACCTTGCTCAAATCGATCATTGGAACCGCAACTGGTGAAGTAGGTAGATATTGGCTAACGTCGCCATGGTCCCGGCTTCGAAGCCCGTTATCTCTATCTAATGAAATCAAACAAGGTCGAAACGCATCATGGAATGCGTTGTTCCCGGATGGGCAGCACCCAATTTCCATCTGGTTCAACTACGGTCCTATTGATCGAATTGGCCAAGCTTTGCTTCAATGCGAATCGCGGTCCACTTTGCGATTGCACTTCGCAATCCACTCACATAACCAGTACTCCAAAATGACCCTCCAACCAGTCATTAACTTTTCTACCAAGCGTTGCCTGTCATTACTCGGTGGCTAAGGAAGTCGTAATTTCGGCTAGCATCCCAATGGTCCTAGGTTCGATGTCTGCTATCTCCGTCTGATGATATCACATAAAATCGAAGCGTTCCGTGGAATGCAGTGTTTTTGAGCGGACAACACCCACCAGTGTCTACCTGTCTAACCATTGATTTTAGTTCACATATTGCCAAAGCTAGAACCACCCTCTTGAACCTGCGACCTATTCCGTCTCTCTCTGAAAGGCCCTGTTTACAAGGCCACTATGCGGTTGGTTATACTGTACGGAAGGAGAATCTGGTATTGGTATCTGACACTCCATAAATTCTTCGATCATCGCTGCCTACGGAGCATTGCTGGTGTCGGATGGCAATCGCTACGATAATATATGTAGGTGAGTACCATGAAGGGATGTTCAAGCAGGTTTCTTAGAACAAAAGACAGCATTGAGTGTGTTACGTTTGCGTGATCACCTGCTGCTTGTGCCCGGTCACCATAATTTAAGGATATCACGTTATTACATATTATTACACGCCAGCTAAAGGGGAGAAACACCCAGATATTAAACCGAAATACAAGCAGATAACATATTTGAAAAATACGAGGTACCAATCACTACAACAAACGAAATGATGACCAAATAAACTAGCAATCTGGTTGTGCATCGAGAATGAGATCGCGCTTGGAGGGAAAAGCTAAGCGGGAGGTAGGGGGACAACGAAACTCAACCCAAACGCCATTGAGACCAGCTACTTGCTGTCTCAACAAGTGTATCCAATCATACGTGCTCATCGTCCTTCGATCCCCAACCCTGCAATCGGGAGACAACATCCGACGCCAAGTCTGAAGTGAGGGCCTTCCTTCCTCTTGACCAACTCGTCGCTTGGCCTCTCTCTTTTTCTTCCATCCAGACCCCGGTTACGCAAACAACATACGTCGCGGGAGTCGGTGTGCTAGCACGCGCAACACTTAGCGCAGCCATCGGAGCAATGTGTGTGATATAACGTTACTGAGCGGTTATTCGCACCAAATACGCGACGCGGTGTTCCCACCAGATATGAGCTAATCTGTGAAGGCAGCGATGATTGAACATAACTAGCCTCTTTAGATTTGTTAACCTGATGGGGTAGGTTTCGCGTCCGTACAGGATAGTTGAACAGACGGCTGCATTGTAAACTCCGTTCTTCAGAGCGAGAGTGATGTTAAGCCGACGCCACAGGTGACAGAGATTGGTAAACGCGCCTGGAGCTTTTGCTATACGGTCCTTGACCCCATCTTCAATTTCACGAGCACTAATGTATCTGCCCAGCTATTTGAATCTGCACGGCTCCTAGCTACTCACCACCAAAGCTCAGCGTATGAGTGGGTCCCTGCCACTCTTGAGGAAACATTTTGCACTTTAGGGTGCAAAGCATAGTCCGATATAACTGACAGCTGGTGCTAATCTGTCCAGTGCTGGTTGGCACGTTAGGGAGCTGTCGCAGATAAAGACAATGTCTCAGCGTACTTTAAATCAAGGATTCGCTCACCTGGAAGCAACCACACCTAAATCGTGTCCAGCGAGCGCCGTTTCCATGACTTCGTCAATGACGAATTTAAAGAGGATGTTATGGCATCGAGCGTGGGTGGGACAGAGTTTCAGCTTCTGTAATGAGTATCGATGCTTCTGTCTTAAACCGCCTGTAGAGTACTCGGATTTCCACTTCACTTTGCCCGCCTCATGCTGTAACGTTGTGTTTATACTGGAGACCTTTAGTAATGACTACGATTAATGACATGAATGCTATTTTATTGCACTTTTTGGGCTTTGGGGATAATTTCACTTTTTTCTCTCACAGGTTCACCGGGGTATCGTCTACGTGGGCGAGTGCAATATACGTTTGCGTCCAGTTCACATCACATGGCCACCTGGTTTCAAACCTAAGGCATCTTTGTTACCAGCGTCCTCCAGCAAGGTTAGCCAACGCTCTAAGGCGAAACAAATACTTCATTGTCGCTATGGTATCATCCATTGTTCTGGTTACTCCTCAACCCGGGCAACATTGGCTCAACTTGCAGAATTGCATGCACGCTCTACTACAACGGATCTCGAGGATAATCAAGCTTCCATTTTGCCGGATATGGCACGGCGTCATGTAGCCATTGAGTACGTTCCACCCCCAAGACCAAACTTCCTTCCCCAACCAACACTATCAACTGTTACCGAGTGTTTAAATGGGCATGACGAGGAGTTGGAACCATCACCCAGCGAAGCGGCCGACGACTCGCTAGGACTCGGTTCACCGGATTGTGCGGCTAGATCCAATCTATCTCCATTGCCAAAGCGCAACGTGCCATCACACTGGTTTATCGAGGATGATGATGCTGCGTGCTTCAATACGGAGGCTTTCGCGTCTTCCACAACCCATACCGCTCTCCCAGAGTCCTCTCCAGCGAACTCCTTCAAATCCGCTCCAGGGATGCCAGATGTAATAGACAACTCCTGGGATTTGGAAGAAGATCGACAATTGTTGGAATACACCAAATCCAGGGGACGTTATAGCACTTCTATGTTTGCTGATTTGGCCAAGTGTTGGGTCCCTAAACCCTTCCCCATCTCAAGACCTCGCAAAGCACATGAGCTAGAAGCTCGCTTCAAGCGGCTAATGCTGCTAACCTTAGGCGACGCATATGACCCTATTTTATTCCGTAGTCCTGAAAGAGAAAGTTCCGAAGACAATTAATACATCTTCGAACTTCAGCATTTTACTTGCCATACCTGGGAGATGATTCTTTTTCGTACTTCTTTTATCCCCTCTTCTCTTGACTTTAAACTCACATATGTATCATCTCTGTTCCCTTTTTTCCTATATCACTTTATCGACACGTACTTCCCATGGTGTTTTTGTTCACTCAGGTCATCAGGAATCTTCGAAATCCGCCATCCATCCATTGGGGCTTCCGAGCGCATAAATAAGTGTCTTCTGTTCTATTGTAAACCCTTTGTTCGGGCGCAGGTGGTCGAGCAAGCATGCTACGTTGCATCAGTATTTTCACCAAAGGAAGCAGCACGGTGTTCATAGTAGCAGACTAACCTCCCTTTGATCTTGTACAGATGGCTGCCGTACTCAAGTTCATTATCTCGCTCCAGTCTACCCATCTCATTAGCACACGTAAGCTTGACACTGTCGCCCGACTGTTTATACACTGTCCGGGTCGCATTTGGCCCGCGTAGTCCTCAGGCCAGTTTACCTCTTTCTCTACACTGTTAAAGTCCTTAGTATCTTTGGCTTTTTGTATAATTCACTATCATTAGTGGTTCTGAATTACCTCCGCATAGATACGTATGCTGGTTGATATCGCTTATACTTCTAACCACGTTTACCCTGTCTGTGAATGCGGGGAAATTTCCAAATCGATGGAAACCCTCTACTATAGAGTCTAGGCATAGAAATGTCTGCAAACCAGACCTCGAAAATTACCGCCAAAATAGCCACACCTAGATTATTTCGAGAATAATGGCAAGGGAAAACGCTTATGCACTTGCTGTCATTGAATTGGATAAACCCGGATCAGCATGGGTTTTCGTAAAGGTGCTGATACCAGACTTGTCAGCTAGCCTTTCTAAACAATCTGACTGATTCCATTTACAATGGTAAAGCAGCCATCATTCTCTTTATTGATATGCAGACGTGCTTTGACAGAGTGACGCACAACAGCCTCTAGGCGAAGTTAACCAATTTCGGCATCACTGATCCCTTGCACGCATCGTTCGAATCTTACTACTCTGATCGCACACAACAGGCCCAAATAGGACCTACTAGGTCATTACCACTGAAGATTAAAAGTTGTGTGATTCGCGGAAGTGTGTTAGGTCCCTTGCTCTTCCTAATGTATATCAATGATATGGCTGGAAAAATAAAATTTGAGACGCCATATATCTTTTCGGATGATATAAAAATATTATACACCTTCGATATCCGGTGTTTGAGCGAAAATCTAGAATACCTTCACATAGACCTACTGACCTTGGAACCGTGATGCACCGATTAGCAAATATCCTTCACAGCAGACAAATGCAGTGTGTTGGCATGTAAGTGTGAACTTCCCCAAATGCGTTTTACCTTGCTTGTAAACCCATCCCATGTAATAGGACTGTAGGTGATTTAGGCATTCGGTAATCAAGCACTCTGAATTTTGGTAAGTTGAATTCATAACGGCCAGATCACGAAGAGGTGCAAAACTCATCGTAAAATCATTCTCTGCACGAATCTAATGCTGCATTCGTGTAAGGCATGTTTTCGCCCTGTACTAGAGTGCTACTCGATTATTTTTACAAGCGGCAGGAAACGTGACTATGTGTGTGTGCATAGAAAACGTGCAGTGATCATTCACAAAGGCCCTCTTTGACTCATCTAAACTTAACTACTCTGAGCGTTGTAGTACGCTACAACTGATGCCATTGTGGCTAAGGCGCATGAAGCTAGCCTTAGTCCATAAGCGTGCGTTTTCGCTAAATATCACTGTTCATTTCAAACACGAGAGTTTATCTGCACTTAGGAATACGAAGAATAAACTCCTGGTGTCTAAAACGTAAAGTAGTGTTCGCATAAATTTTACCTAAATGGCTACAGTGAAGTTTGGAACAGCCTCCCTATTGAACTAAGTGCATGCGAATCGAAGCCCATGTTTAAAACGGCACCTTCAAACTGCCTACCAGTGCAATACGTAAAACCCATGTTGCGACTAAATTGCAATAAAAATATGCTATTTGTGGAGGAGGGGGGCCGAGATGTAAGTGTGTTATATACACTAAATGCGTTAGAGTGTGTTTACTTGGCCAAACCCTCCTGAAAAGGTGCATTAAAAAAGTGAGTTTGACAGAACCCCCTCCACACTTCTTTACTCGGGAAAGCATACTTCACAGACACACCAATAAGTGCGACCTGCAGAGAAATTGTAAACTGAGCTTGAGATAACTATTTTTGTCCACTCTTCAAATTCTTCTTACGTAGCCACGCCTACCTTACAGCCATACTAAACCTTGTGAGCTAAGAAGGGGAAACGCTGATTGAATCTATCCATCGTCACTCACTTTTACCATTCGTTCTTCTCGTACTCTACTATTCTTCCCTTGTTGCTCTCATGTAAACATCCCAGGCAGTAAGGTGAAGCCAACAAATTCTGCTTCCAACATCTCCATCCCCAGTTGTAGTATTTTGCTTTTATTTTCCCCTTTACCTCGCTTACGCCTAACGTAGAGTCAAACTAAAACGCTTGAGCCAGTTGACAAATGCCAACCACATTCACCTCTATCTGTCTTGGTCCGTATGTACAGCCGCGGAATTGAAAATGGCCAAATACCTCCATCTTTCACTACTCGTTTTTAAGTGGGTTGAATGAAACGTTTTGAATCTGGTACAGAAATCAAATTACTAGGCAAACCAAATAACCCTTTTTATGGACTACGACTTTTCCTTGTTCATATTATACAAATTCATGTTTCTACCTCTTTGACTACCATTTCAGCAGATTATTGTAGGGAGTCTGGTCTGCAATTTGCGAAAATGTGGAAATGAGAGCATCGTGCAGTGGTCAGATATTTCTATCGCAAAGGAATGTCACCATCTGAAATTCACCAAGATAGCTCAATACATTGCAGGGCAATGCCCCTTCATATGCCACAGTTACATGTTGGGTGCAAGAGTTTAAGCGCAGCAGGGAGAATATGCAAGATGAACCCAGGTCAAAGATACCATCAGCCGCCACCACCAATGAAAAAGAACGCCGTAATCTATAGGAAGCTTTTAGCCTGAATTAGTTACCATATTCCATACGTATGATTTCAGGTTTAATGTTTCTCTTATCACCACACAATTGCTCCTCATCCTTTACCCAACGAAAAGAAAACTTGGTTCCCTCCCTACACAGAGCTCTCCTTCAGGACGCCATGAATTATTCTGTGCTCATTCCAGGCTTTGAACTGGACAACTATGGAGGTTAAACACAATTTTATTTCTGCCTGACATTTGTAAAATGCTGTAAATGTTATACGAATTAATTTTAAAAATCTAATCATGTCGAGAAGGGTATGCCTCGTAAACCAGGGAATATGCATTATTATTATTAGCTTTCGCGGTTTTATCTCACCCTGATTCAGTCGTATCGTTTACCACTTTCTGAAATGACAAAGCAGACTCGTTTTGGTAGTTGTTCTAACATCGTTGGTCATCGTGCAAACGCGACTACATGCAGTTAGTGCAGCGTAAAGCTTCAGATTTCGTGCATTGGTGCACGCGTGGACCGATTGACCTATCACTAGGTCATTTTCATCGGGTCTCACCATGCCAACTGTTTTACCAATCGTCACTCATGCGCTGTGTGGTCAAGTCGGTTAGCACCACAAAGCATGGTAACCATTCTGCTACACCGCCAGCGTTTGTAACTACCAAATGTGGTCGCATCCGCAAGTAAACCTGTTGTGACTGCTAGTACGAACGGCCACTGCAGTGAGGATGCGGGTGCGCTGCAGTTCCGGGCATGCAGCAGCAGGGGCTTATGTATTACAATGGACCGCCCACTCTGCCTTGCCTACTCTAGGGAATTCCGCTGCTACTGGGGAAGGTAGGTGTGACGACATCTATGGTGGTGGACTGGGTATAAGGCTGTTTTAGCTCAGATGGTCAACCTGTAGGGGAGCACTCGAGCAGAGTTTTGGCACTTTTTGCTGATCTTGTAAATCGGGTTACAGGGTGTGTGAGTCTGCTGTATAGACCACCTATGCCACCTACCTACGACATTATAATACGTCCTATAGATTACACGCCGAGCAGTGAGGAGCCGATTTCGATTATAGCCCACTGTTATTTTTGTTCCTGGAAGGCCACATTAACAGCTGCTATAGTCTATCGGCAGTTTTGTGGCGGTTTCGATATACCTTGAAATAGTAGAGAATAACCGTAGCTCGGCCCCAGATAAAGCAACACAACACACCCACAACAAATGTAACGACTGAAAAGCAAACCGTGTTATCTTACGTCAACGGAATCTCGGAAATGGTAGCGAGACTTGTGTTGCCTTTATGAGTCAAAGTTGCCCATCAACCAACAGACACAATACGAAGTAACCTCTTCAAAGTGAAGGATAAACTCTGCAAGTTGGAAACATCTGGTGTAATCTACAAGATATGCTGCCGAGATTGCGACAAATACTACGTAGGACAAACAGGAAGAAAGCTTGGCACATGGCTACATGAACATAATCTAGCCATCCACCGTTATCATAAGAACTCTTTGATGTCCGTACATATGGATGCCGAAGGCCACCAGTTCGACTCGGAACACGTCAAAATTCTCGGAAGAGCCACAGGCCGGCAAGCATGTGAGTTTATTGAAGCCTGGTATTCAAAGCAGAACTCGATCAATAAGCACTTAGATCTCGAAGTCGCTTACGAGGCTCTGCAAAACAGGACCTTAAAACCGCACTGATGATGTTGCCTAGTCTGGCAACGAAACGTATGCAAAATAATCATTCAGTTCGATATACCTCCTTGTTTATCAAAGTATTTGGACCGCGTGTTTAGAGTTTATAGTCACTGGGCCTTCTAGTGGCATTGCTCGCGAATCCACTCTTCATCTGTGTTTCGCGAACGCCGCAAACTACAACTCGTAGCTGTATTATCCGTGAACTCATTCCATTCACTCCACTTCGTATCCGTTGCAACTCATCACCTCACTGATAGACACCTTGTGTTTGCCTGGCCTTAGTGGGGCATAATTGTCCAATGGACAATGATTGCATTCAATAAAATGCATTTTTCCTCCATGATAATAAAGAAGAACTGATAGCTCTGAGTAGCTTACGTTACATGGTCTCTTTAATTGCTTCTTCTTGTATCGGCTTATCCACCTCGAGTCCGAGCAACATATGCGAGTTCTGGTTTTCGTTTGTTCTCCAAGCTGAGCAATTGTG